GGGGAACAGAGTGATACCAAGCAGAAAATACAAACTGTTCAACAACAAAAATGACAGCTGTGACAACAATATAAAAACAATATTAGAACAAAAATACACACATACTGGAAAATGTAAAAATATTTGCAAAAAATTTGAATACCTGAAAAAAAACTGTCAAATATTGCAAAAAAAGGCAAAAATATAAAACCAAAAATGTATGAACAATGACGAATACATTAAAAAAATGTCATCAGGAAAAAACGAGAAAAATACTGGTCAAAATGTATTAAAATCTTGGGGAAAATATGAAAAATACACACAAAAAATTTAAAATGCAAGATATGATGGGGGGAAAAAAACAGAACTACAATAAAGAATTTCACAAAATTATTTGAAAACAATACATTCTAAAAGATATCAATAATAGGAAAAATACCAAAAATTTTGGGGGAAACAAAAATAGCCAGATAATACAAGAAAACAAAATCTTCAGAAAATATCCCCAAAATATTTTATACCTTAAATGCACAAATACTTCTACAAATGCAAAAATACACGATTAGACTGTATTACTGAAATGTTCACCAAAAATGGCACTGAAAAAAAAAATACTGCTATTCACATATGCTGCTTTCCATCATTTTTGGTTGCAGCCTTGCATCACAGCACTGATGCTGCTGCTTACTTGCCATAGCGAGAAGTGAAGCTCCCAGCAGCCATCTTGCATTGCCGCTCGCTAATCATGCCAAAAACGAATACCTTGATTTCTCTACAGCATTTTCACATTTTTTTTCCTCAACATTTTTCATGAAAATGGCTAATGTGGGGAAACCGACCTACAAAATTTCCCCCCAAAAAACAAAACAAAAAAACCCTGTCATTACAGCGGGACAAGGTGTTAGGTGAGAGTTCACTGAAGTATCACACACACATTGCAAGCGCTACACGGGTCACCCAAACTCTTTTTGTTTTATTCATGTTTGCTGCAGGGTAGAAAACCGGAATATCTCTTCATTTTATCAGACAGATGCTATCATGCAAGATTGAGAGCTGCTTGTTTTATTACGTGTGTTGCGTACAATTGTCCCTTTTAAATAATAATGAGAATAAAAAGGCAATTTAACAAATGCCAGTAGCACATATGATCATGACACATATGAATGGAAATCCACATGAAGAAGATGAACTCTCCATGTCATGCGAAACACAAGCGATGGCAATAATTCATGCATGCAGTCATCATTAAAAAAAAAACTTTGCTGCCCAGGGAATTGAATTGTAAAGATATAGTTCGTATGTAGTTATGCAAATACAGTGGTTTGTATGACTGTAACATTACAACTTTATATCGTAAATTTCATAACAATGTAAACTCTGAAATACATTAATTAACATTCTGACTCTTTTTTTTTCGGAAAGCACAAACTTCATCCATATAAAATTACAACGTTATCATTGGTATACTGTGATTTTAATCTCGTAATAATTTGACATTTTATGTATATACACGATTATCTAACCTCCCGCCAATTTCGCCCATTTCCGGATTTAACAGACTTAAATAGTTGCAATAGACTGGACACTACTTTCTGTTCATTGACTCCAAGGTCCACTGGTTCTGGGTCCGTTAAATTGAGCTTCCACTATATAAACAATATAAATAAATAGGATAAGTGACATGGACTCACAAAAATGTGTCCTGATTTCAACACACACACACACACGTTTAATCTCGTAATAATTTGACATTTTATGTATATACACGATTATCTAACCTCCCGCCAATTTCGCCCATTTCCGGATTTAACAGACTTAAATAGTTGCAATAGACTGGACACTACTTTCTGTTCATTGACTCCAAGGTCCACTGGTTCTGGGTCCGTTAAATTGAGCTTCCACTATATAAACAATATAAATAAATAGGATAAGTGACATGGACTCACAAAAATGTGTCCTGATTTCAACACACACACACACACACGCACACACACACACACACACACACACACACACACACACACACACACACACATAAATGTCTCTACATCCATTCGCATAGTTTTGTCCGGTGGTTCAGTCAAGGAATGTTTACCACTTCTTGAGCAGTCAGCGTTGGATGCGTATTATTAGCATGTTAGCGTCACACAAAGCTCTCTTCCATGTTGGAGCACAGGAGGAAGGAGTCGACCAAGCGCGGTTTGATCAATTGCTGATGATCTGCCGCTTCGATGCTGTCCGGGCACACTGAGGCCAGCCTCCTCAAGGCCGCCTGCACACAAAGATTCCAAAATATTAGGTATACGTGTACAATACAAACCTATGGACTTTCCAAATGTAACATGGTCGCTTCAAACCAAAATGAATTCTCTTTTCAATTTCGTCCATTGGGTTTCCTTTAGACAAATTAGTAATATGCCCCCTACAGGTAATTTTTTGACAAATTTCCTTGTCAGAGTTTGTCAAGTATCCAAGTGCTGGAATTTCTACAAAATGGCTGCTTCCAACCAAAATGGCTGCCTTTCTGTTCAATTTCTTCCACGGCGTCTTTGAGAGTTTTTTCATTCTTCCTGTATGCTGAATTTCATGTCGGTCGAAATTATTGTTGGGGTTAATAAACCTGAGTAGTTCATGGTTCAGAGTTGCGTTGCCTCCAAATGCACAAATGATTTACAAATTTGATACGTTGAATGCGCCAAAAAAATTAAAGAACGATGTTATGTTGGTGTTGTGATGTATGATGTATGTTGGAGAGCGCAACTTAACCCTCAGCCGAATGCCACAAATTGTGAGGTTGAGGGCAAGCCCAATGAACTTGCCGGCCACCACAACGCCCTCCTCGTGATGATCATAAATGTATATCCATGATATGCGCACATTTTAACATGTGAACTACTTCCTGGAGAGGAATATTAAGAAAAGAAAAAAATCATTAATACCTTACAATAAAGGGGAAAACAATTGAATACTATTTTGAATGAAGGCGGTGCACTGAAAAAAGAAATTGAGAGCTCACACACACACACACACACACACACACACACACACACACACACACACACACACACACACACACACACACACC